CATATATATATTAGAATGGGGACAAAAATAAATAATCTAGGCGGTTGACGTTTTTTCAGGATATATAAAATTTATTTTATTACGAATATTTAGGGATCACCTGTTCTCTTCAGCGTATGCCTACAGAATAGTAACATCAGATTAAACAGTTACAAAAATAGGTTCATGATCAAACAGAAATCAAATGATAAACAACAGAAAAACAAAACGATCGGCACAATAGGCGGTCTGGCCAGTGCGCAGAATGCAGTCTATTTGACATAACAATTAGGACTGGATTTTCTGTTAGCTAATTCGTTAATGAACGTGTATCCGCTCAGAATACCAAGGTCGTTGTTTAGGCCCTGCGTGTGAGTGTTAAGCCTTAAAACCCAACTCATCTCATATTCTGTCTTTGGTGGATCAGGGAACTGTGAAATTGCCTCTGGGTGGTTTATATATCCATGGCTTATGATGATAAATTAAATGTTTTTAAGAGTGTGGTCTGTCAAGTTGAAATGTTGACTGACAGTAGAAAAGGTTAAAGGTTATTCATTTATATTGTGCAAAACACGAGTCTCTATGCGCAGAACAAGTGAGCAGATGTAACTGGAAAACTAGATTTGAACTCGTCACTGAGGACGAATTCGGTGATCCGCCGTACTTTGACCCTCAGGAAGCGCGCGCGGTGCTGATTGAAAAGTTTCATAATATGCTAACATATGCTGTAATTAGTTTAAAAAAAAGAATAATTTTGAGCATTTTAAAAGACTTACGCATGCGTACACGCACGTCTTGACGCCCGTGAGCACGGAAATGTCACAAAGAGTGACTCCTGACTCTGTCAGGAACACAAAATATGTAACAACGCGTAATTTCCAGTATGAAGATAGTGCATCATTATTCCGGTAATTGGATTAAACACCTGTGAAACAAATTGAAACGTAGTCGGTTTTATGTTCAGTTTCATCCATCTCACAATGGTTTTATTCTGTAGTTAAACATACAAGATAATAATTAACAAAGCCCACATCGATAAATCTATGAAACACATGAAATATTCGTAGGGCCATCCTAGGCCTATAAAGACCAACTCTCTACCAGCGCTTGCGTCTCCCTTGTCTGCTTAACTTTAATTAGGTCATTGCAAACTCCAAAGCATATAACACTGAATCAAAGAATCATAATATAACAATGAAATTATCTCTACATATCTCATTATGATGAATTTAACTTACTTCAATTTACGCATTGTGATCTGGTTACTAGGCGATCTACTAATGTACTTCAAACTTTCCATACCCAATTGAGGGCGCTACACAAGTTGCTCTATTTTACACACATACTACTGTGGGCAGTGGCGGCGTTACAGAGGAGGGGCCAAGGGGTGAGAAAAACCACAATATTATTTTCTACATATTAATAGACTCTAAAATCTAAGACTCTTAAATAAGCCTTTGGAACCACTACATTGTTAAAGTTTTTGGGGGCGATGCCTGACCACGGCCACTTTTTTTTCTCGAGTGACATCAGCCCTGTCAGGGACTTCTGACCTCCCATCAGGCAAATCCTGGCACAGCCCCTGCCTGTGGGAGTACCGGTATATTCCACAATGCTGCAGCAGCTATTCAACTCATTGGCATTCTAACCCTCAGATACTCTTGTGCATAACTGCTGTCTATTCTGCAAATTTTCCAAACATATTTTTTTCCTAATTTTGAGGAAGTTATTTTTAGAGCATCTCTCTCCAGTATGTTCCTATTCAGAAATGACCTTTTAAATTGCCATTGCTTTTAAATTTCTTTCCAATTTCTTTCCACAGTGTTCACATTCATATGGTCTCTCCTGTATGCATCTTTAAATGAAGTTTTAAATTAACACTGCTTTTAAAAAATGTATTTTCACAGTGTTTACATTCATATAGTATTTTTCCTGTCTCATGTATCATCAAATGAACATTTAAACAGCGATTCCTTTTAAATTTCTTTCCACATTGTTCACATTCATATGGTCTCTCCTCTGAATGCATCATCAAATGACATTTTAAATTGCACTTCGTTTTATATTTCTTTCCACAATGTTCACATTCATATGGTCTCTCTCCTGCATGCATTATCAAATGACGTTTTACACCACTACGGTGTTTAAATTTTTGTCCACACTGCTCACATTCATATGGTGTCTCTCCTGTATGTTTCCTTAAATGAACTCTTAAACTGCTGTTGTTTCCAAACATTTTTCCGCAGTATTCACACTCATATGGACTCTCTCCTGTATGCATCATCAAATGAAGACTTAAACCAGAATAAAATTTAAATTTCTGTCCGCAGTGTTCACATTCATATGGTGTCTCTCCTGTATGCATCCTTAAATGACTTTTTAAAGAGTAATTTCTTTTAAATTTCTTTCCACAGTGTTCACATTCATATGGTTGCTCTTCTGTATGTATCGTCAAATGACTTTTTAATTTACCTTTAGTGTTAAATTTCTTTCCACAGTGTTCACATTCATATGGTTTCTCTTCTGTATGTATCAATAAATGGCTTTTTAAACTGCCCTTAGTTTTAAATTTCTTTCCACAGTGTTCACATTCATATGGTTGCTCTTCTGTAAGTATCGTCAAATGACTTTTTAATTTGCCGTTAGTGTTAAATTTCTTTCCACAGTGTTCACATTCATATGGTTGCTTTTCTGTATGTATCGTCAAATGACTTTTTAATTTGCCGTTAGTGTTAAATTTCTTTCCACAGTGTTCACATTCATATGGTTTCTCTTCTGTATGTATCAATAAATGGCTTTTTAAATTGTTGTTAGTGTTAAATTTCTTCCCACAGTGTTCGCATTCATGTTTACCTCCTGTATGCATCTCCAAATGACTGGTTAAACTGCTATTTCTTTTAAATTTCCTTCCGCAGTGTTCACACTCATACGGTCGCTCCTCTGTATGCCTCAACAAATGACTTCTTAAACTGCTGCCGTTTTCAAATTTCTTACCGCAGTGTTTACATTCATGTAGTGTTTTTCCTTTATGTATCCTCATATGACCTCTTAAAGCATATTGGCTTTTAAATACTTTTTTGCAATATTCACATTCATGGAATATCTCCTTTGTATCTATCAAATCTCTTAAATTGCTTGAGTGATCAAATGGCTCTTCAACATAATCACATTGTTCAAATTCTACCTCCTCTATCTTAATTCCGAAATGGGTCCTTTCTACCTCCTCTCTCTTAATTCCCAAATGGGACCGCAAAGTAATTAAATCAACATGTTCTCCACAATGTTCGCATTTGTATTTCATCTCTTCCTTGTTATTTTCCATTTTGTTCTTACACAACTACAAGTGTTTTGCAATATAAATTAAAGTGTTTTCTTATTCACTGCATACTGTGGAAGACTTCCCTGAAAATACAATGCAATGCGATAGTGTTATATGATAATAATTTCCACTTATACTGTTTATTGTGCAGTGCCTCTATAATATATAAAGTAATAGGCCAAATATAAAAAATTAGTAATTTCTCATCCCCTCGTGCATCTATTTTCTCTGCCTCTCCAAATTTTAATTTTTTTTTTAAATTTCATTTTTTTAAAAAGAAATGTATGAAAATCTGGCTAACTGTTTTCTTATTCACTGCATAATTTGGAAGACTGAAATAGAAAAAAAATGTTGGAAGGCGAGTGTTATATGATAATTTGCACTTAAACTGTTTAGCGCATATTACGCAGTGCCTCTATAATATTACAGTTACTAGTTTATTGTCCATTTTCTCCACCTCTCCAAATTGTAAATTCTTTTTTTATTTTCTTTATTTTAGTATTATGGTATGAATCATGTCTAGTGCTTCTTTTATTTGATGGCATCAATGTGTGTACTTGCAATAGTCAGAAAGTAGTAGCTGATTTCCATCAACCATCTTAGATTTGCCATCTCTAGAGTACAAAAAAAAGTCCTCATTCTTCTTTTCTTTTTTTTTTTTTTAATATTAGGAGAAACTACTTTTTTTTAATACTTGGCATTAAAAAATGTGTTATCAGGTTACAAATAATAAGCTATATAATTGTACTACAGTATCCAAGATTTACTTGCTATCTAGAATCATGTAAACATTTTTTAAAAAGTATATTGAAATGTTTTTTCAGGCTTGAGAATTTAAGTTATGCAGCTCATTTCACTATCATTGGTGTTACTATTACCCTGAATGATTCAGGAATTGAAACCTACAAATGTTAAAAAGCAAGACACTTTGATCTACAATGTAGAACAACAGTATGTCCATATTCGGGACACTTTAAGGTGGTGGTGGGAGATAAATTGAACAAAGTTTAGTAACAAACGATGGTGACAAAAATTGTAAAATTACAGTACTTAGAGCAATAAATCAATGTTGCTACCATAATTATCTTCTTCATGATTCTCATCACAGTACTGCTACAACAACATTCAGAGGCGAATTTAGAAAGTTTAGATAAAAAGTATTTATGGAGTTTTCATAGGTTTGTTTTAACACCAGTTTTTGTTACCTAACTAAGGCTAATGTTTTCGGCGCCTATGATATTTCTTCTCACGGCCTATCGCAAAATCAAACATGAAAAATTTATCCGCATTTATTTTTTGTGTGGAACACAAAAAATCAAATTTCAGTCTTATTTTACATTTTTTTCATTCTTAGGAATGTCTAAATTCAGTTAAACTAGCAATTCCGTATTATATTTATAAATCTTTATAACATTATACAAAAATTAGATTTTTCTTAAAAACTGAAATTTTGCCGGGAATGGGGCTTTAACTTCGAGTCATCAATCTGATGATCTCTTTATAAAAATACTATAGTTTAAACAAGGTAATTCAACAGAAGGACGCACATCTCCGCTCTCGAACATAGCGCGTGCGTACAGTCCTTTGATCTTTACTGTGGCTTCGACAATCCGATACTAGTTGCGAGTACAGCCGTCAATTATTAGTCTATGCGTGCCATTCGTTTTATGGCGTTAGTTTTTATTTTATTAATTTTGGGTACTTCGCAATGCCTGTTACATCTGATTTTTTTTTACTGCTTTTTTAACTGCTTGTTAAATGCTTCTATAAACTGCAATTTTATTTGTGAAAATTGACCAATGAAAATGAAAAGTTATAGCAATTTAAAATTTACGAATTTTATAAAATTTCATGTTCTTATGTAACATTAATCTGTTATTTTGACAATGTTGGCATAAGGTTCCGAAAACGAACATTTGAGTATATACAGAACATTTATTACTTTTTGAAGTGAAGTCTCATGAACGACAATTCACCACAATTTTGGTAAAATTAATGTTGAAATGAAGAATATAATTTCAGTCTAATGTTAGTGCAAAACATCATTAGGCCTTTGTAATCACTGCATGACACGCGATTATGGCAACTAACACGCGCGCGAGTAAATCGTTACGTACACCGACGGTTTATGGCCTGGTTGCTATGGTTTTTGTGACGTTCAGCGTGTAGGGACGCAGGTGCGTCTAGAATGTCGATGCCAGAGTTATAACCTTTGATGTCCCGAGATGTGCGTCCTTCTGTTGAATTGCCTTGGTTTAAATGGAATGTACAAATACATATTCATTAATATTCTAACTAATACAGCCTATATAAAATTAATAAATACCCAGCCAGTCTGAAACACACGCACCAAAAAAAAACTTTAAAAATACAGAAGCCTTAAAAAATTACTATCCAAACATAAAGCACTACTGCGTACATCGGCGTTCCATACTGAGGCTGTTTATTGCGACCGAAATGCATAATACCATAGAGCTATTAAACAATACGCCGCCACTGAAATGATCTGTATTCGACTACTACTACTGTACTAGGCCTAACTATTTTCGTCATTTCCCTGTTTTGATAGCATTGCGAGAAAAAAGACACTACCTACCGTATAGGCCTATTACTGTACCTACGCTATAGCGTGCGTTTTTGGCGACTGCTGGGGCCATACAATAATAACTCATAACTGTACCCTTTCCATAGAGCTATTATTAAACAACTAATTAGACAGGATGACGGACAGGATCATAGCGAAGCAATGCAGAGTTGTGTATGTGTACCATCCAAGATGGCCCCCGGAGGACAGCGCCACCTTCAGGCTTAGTATAAGTTGAAATTTCATAGAAAGATTAAAAAAAAACTGTGTAAAATTTGCAGAATATTGCTCAATTGTTGTAGATCATTAATTATTGTTTAAAAATGAATCAATTAAATAATAAGAATTACGACACAAAATCAACATCATCATTAATTAATACATTTTTTATACATAAATTATCAATTAAAAATTTACAAACTTAATATTAAATTGTATATATTATCTACAAAAAACATTAAAATTAACTGATACAAAAATATGTAATTACAACACTAAATCAACATTATTATTAATACATTTTCATACATCAATCATCAATTAAAAATTTACTAACTTAATATAATTTATATATATTTACAGGAAACATTAACATTAATTTATACAAAAAATGGAAATATGCCTATCTCCTTGTCTCAAACATTCAGCACTTGCTATTTCAATTTTTTTTATTCACCATTCAACATTCTATATATTGCAGGGAATACTTACAGAAGTATTCATAAAATTTACTGGAGTTTCTTAGTGCCTTCACATACTCCCCCTTGTATTTAGTGCCAGTTATAGCATTCAGTACAATTTTATTTAAATTCTTACTGAATTGAAGCAAAAATTTACACGGTCTCATTTCAAGTTCCATTTTAAAAGTTTTAATGATTCAAATTGTGCACCTGATATTATTCTACATGCTCTGCGTTGCACAGATTCAACTTCCAAGGCTGGTGGAACTTGGGGGGGGGGGG